AACACGGACTTAAAACATTAAACATTAAACATTAAACGGTCGCTCTGCTGCTGCACACTCGTGTGTATTGGCTATAATGTGGCCTAAAAAGCGGCCACTAAAGCTCCACTAACAGTCCGTTTCCACCTTGATCGTGCCGGAGAGGTCCTACCTGGTAGATGGCGGTCCAACTCCCGTTTTCATCGATTTCCCGAAACTCGGCTTCCATTGCTGACAGTCCAGCTGCCACTCCTTCTTCTTCTTCTTCTTCTCCTTCTTCTCCTTCTCCAGAAATGTACAACCGCAGCTCCCCGGCGGTTAAACAATCTGTACTCGAACACTGTCCCGCAGTAACTGCTAATTGTTCCGTCAATATCCTGTAATTCTCAGTACGACGGCATAGATTACCGTGTTGCCTCCGTCGGCCTGGTGTTAGCGGAAACACGCCGCTGGCTCCTCCCACACCGAGCAGCCGCCGGTGGCTAAAAAAGAGCAGTGTGTGTGTATGTTTAAGAGTTTATAATCCGCACCGGGTTTTCCGGGTGAACATCGGGATTTTAAAATCCTCATAAAACCAGAATTGTGTAACTTTATTCGTGAGAAATAGTCACTTTACCGATTCTAACGGCAGCCGCACGGGCAGACCACTGAACACGAGCGGAAGTCGTCTTGTGTGTGTGTGTGTGTGTGTGTGTGGAACGTGACGCGTCCGGCTCCGCGAGCGCGCGCGCGTACACTCACGTAATGGTCTGTTTACGTCCAATCTGTGGAGTCTCTGCTGCTGTGACCTGCTGCAGTTTACTCAACGAAATGTTCTAGCTGGTTAAAACTCGTGACCGGGGATGATATGATATTATTTTTTGGGGCATTTTAGACTTAAATGTCTTTGAGCAGGCGGCGCACAGTGTGACCCACCAAAGGTCACCATGGATTAGCTGTAGTTCAGAGGCTTCTCTCCACAGTGTGACTGACAGCAGGAGCTGGGACAAGGGACTTTGGTGCTACTAACGTTAGCTAGCAACGCAACTCAGCTAGACGTTTTGAGTCAGCGTTACTGCTGCGACAGGTACTATACACATCCTTGACAAGTTCTTCTGTGTGTGTCGCTTCATATGTTGTCCTCTGGCCGTCGGCTCACTTTACGTGCCTGTGTTTTCCTAGTTGTTGTCTAGCGTTGGCGTTAGCCCTCAGCTGTCGCTGGCTGCTGCTTGCTAATGTGTAGCTGTAGTTATTGCCTCCCAGTGGTGGAAAAAGTATTCAAATCTTTTAACGGTAAGTTGCATTAGCAATACCACAATGCCAAATTACTCACTTCAAAGTTAAAGTCCTGCATTCAAAAATGTCGGTCAAGTAACAACTCAATTATTAGCATACAATATATATTTATTTATGTATCTAAATTGTAAGTATTGAGATTGTTTTTATTAGTTTTCCATATGATTTGCAAGAAGAAAATCTCACAAATTGGAAATACTCAAATTAAGCACCAATACATCTAAACAGTACTGATGTTCAGTACTTGAATATACTTCCATCTTTGTTTCTCGGGCTTTCTAACTTGTCACACCTAAAAACTATCCATTGTTTTTGTCAGCATGCAACACAGGCTTGAATCTTAGACACACATTTAATGCACACATATACACGCACACACTCGCCAAAGGATGACAGGTACAGTGGCTCTGATAAATATGTGTTGTGACGATCATTCAAAACAAAGCTTATCTATCTATTTTAGATTCCTGGAGTAGTTTGAGATCCTTGAGAGATTGTCAGGGCAGCATGGCTCCCAAAGACATCATGACCAACTCCCACGCCAAATCCATCCTCAACGCCATGAACTCACTTCGCAAGAGCAACACGCTCTGTGACATCACTCTGAGAGTGGAGAACACAGACTTTCCCGCTCACCGGATCGTCTTGGCCGCCTGCAGTGACTACTTCTGTGCCATGTTCACCAGTGAGGTAATACTAGAACTGTTTTGAGTGCTTAGAAATATGTTGACTTATGACTTTTATTTACCTCTACAGGGAAAGTTACATAAGAATTAAGAGTAGAACAATATCTATTCTCAGGCACGGAAAAGGTTTTTCACTCCTTTTTTGGCTTCTCTGAGAGTCTCTAAGTGAAGTAAATTTTTATTTTTGCAGTCCACAAAATTTACCTCAAGAGCTGTACAGCATACTGCATCCTCTGTCCCCCGAACTCCCGATTCGGAAAAAGGAAAAACTTTCCCCATAATGAACTTCAACAAGAAAAAAAATGAAAGTAACCCCCGTAAGAGCAGCTGAGAAGAGATCCTTCACACATGCAACAGATGTCATGGACACAGAATAGACCAACAAGTAAAATGACAGTATAGACAATCAGGATGACAAAAACATAGATAGTAAACACATATGAAGAATAAGGCAGTGTTTGTCTTTACTAAAACAACACAGTTAACGAGACAGTTCTAGATAATACCCGATGCAGATTACTAATCCCTAAATGAGACGTTTCTTGTCATCGTACCTGACTCTGTTTTTGTGGCCCTGCAGCTTGCAGAGAAGGGGAAGTCTTTTGTGGACATTCAGGGGCTGACTGCAGCGACTATGGAGATCTTGTTGGACTTTGTGTACACAGAGACGGTGCTAGTCACAGTGGAGAACGTACAAGAACTGCTCCCTGCAGCGTGCTTACTGCAGCTCAAAGGTAGGTTCAGAAGTGCCGGCCGGCCGTACCTTTATTTGAGAAGTGTGTGTGCCCGAGACAGCTGATATCGTTGTGAGTATAGGCAGAGGGTATCTGCAGAACTTGTCAAGCATTTAATTCAGTTTCCCCGATTAAAAAGTCTTAGACGGTATTAAAAAGTATTTTTATTGTTGCGACAGCATGATGTGATTGTAGGAGGTTGTTTAGTCCTTTTTAGTGGAGTCTCAGTCTGCACCATCAGACCTGTAGCAAACCAGGGAGTACAATGTCAAATATAACTGTTTTAACAAAAACTTATCTTAAAACAGGTCTATGTGTTGCATCTATGTGTTCTTTAAAAAGTCTTAACTTATTGAATGACTTTATCAAACGTGTCTTTGTTTTCCTCAGGCGTGAAACGAGCGTGTTGTGATTTTTTGGAGGGTCAGCTCGATCCAACCAACTGCCTGGGTATTCGGGACTTTGCAGAAACTCACAATTGCCTCGACCTGATGCAGGCGGCAGAGCTCTTCTCCCAGAAGCATTTCTCTGAGGTGGTTCAGCACGAGGAGTACATGCTGCTCAGCCAGACAGAAGTTGAAAAGCTCATAAAATGTGATGAAATCCAGGTATGAAAACCGGATGTTTTAAAACCTTATTGTCAGTTGTAGCGTGGAGGCTGCTTGATCTGTTGTCAATGAGTACTTTAGAGAACTATATGTTATTTGAAATACCTGAAACCACAACTGTTATGGTTAGAATTGGTGTTAACATGTCTGAAAAGCAACTCGACTAAAATAGTTTAGTGTCAACTGACTTTCACAGCTTTCTTATTGTCTTTCAAACAACTGAGTGTGAAAAGAGACGAGCAAGCACCAACCTGCTGTAGTCTCAGTCAGCCCCCCCCCCCCTTTAATTCCTTTCACTTTTGCGGATTGCGCTGACAAAGAAGTTGCAGTGAAGAAAACCTGATGCCTTGTTCTCAGGGAATTCCTGTTTCCAACCACACACCTTGCTTTGTGAAAACATAGTTATTATCATAGAACTGATTTATACATCATCACATCTCTCTCGTAGTTCCTCCTGTCATTTCTGTTGTTTTTAGAATAAATCTAGAGACCATACATGGAAATCCCTGTCACGCATAATTTGCCCTCAGTAAAACTTTGTGTCGTCTTCCTCACGTGAGGAATTCATGGCTTGTTTAAACCTACAGCAGACTGCATTGTTGCACGTTGTGTCTTTGCAAGAGTGGTTGCATCACAAATGAATATTGTGCAACATCTTTAACCTGCAGTTTGTCAGCGAGGTGTTTGATTAATATGTGTATTTACAGGCTTAAATGTAGCTGTAACTCCTCATGACTGTATGTGCTGTCTGTATGCAGGTGGACTCGGAGGAGCCTGTGTTTGAAGCCGTGTTGAACTGGGTCAAACACAACCGGAAAGAGCGAGAGCCCTACCTGCCAGACTTGCTCCAGTTTGTCCGAATGCCGCTCCTGACCCCCCGCTACATCACGGATGTCATTGATGCCGAGGTGAGCCAGGCGACAATGTAATCGCACGCCAAGCGTGGATTATGTGTTGGAAGTATTTATCACAGATACCACCATAATTATGCACGTTTCGACATGTTGCAGCCCCTCATTCGGTGTAGCCTGCCGTGTCGAGACCTTGTTGATGAAGCCAAGAAATTCCACTTAAGACCGGAGCTGAGGAGTGAGATGCAGGGCCCACGCACACAAGCTAGATTAGGTGGGAATCCTTTTTTTAGAAGCAGTTTCGCTATAAGCTTGTCTCCTATATAACTGCTCTGTAATCAACACGGATAGTAAAAGTGATTTATGGGGTTTTTTTCAGGTGCCAAAGAAGTCCTGTTGGTTATAGGCGGGTTTGGCAGCCAGCAATCACCAATAGACATAGTTGAGAAATATGATCCGAAAACACAAGAATGGAGCTCCCTTCCTGTAAGTATTGAATATTTCAAAGAGAGCATTGTGATGTTTTTTTTATCCCAGTGGGTGTGACTAATACAGACAGGTGTGTCTTGATTAGAACATTGCACGGAAAAGGCGTTACGTCGCCACGGTGTCTCTCCACGACCGAGTGTATGTGATCGGAGGCTACGACGGCCGGTCGAGGCTCAGCTCCGTAGAGTGCCTGGACTACACCGCGGACGAGGACGGTGTTTGGTACACCGTCGCCACCATGAATGTGCGCCGTGGCCTCGCTGGAGCCACGACACTCGGAGGTGAGCGTGTTTCTGTTCGATCGATTTGTATGGTTTCTCATCTCTCAGAAAGGTACATACTATTTTGCTTCTATTCACGGCAGACATGATCTATGTTGCCGGTGGCTTCGATGGCAGCCGGCGTCACACCAGCATGGAGCGATACGACCCAAACATTGACCAGTGGAGCATGCTGGGAGATATGCAGACAGCTAGAGAAGGAGCTGGTCTAGTGGTGGCAAGTGGACTTATATACTGTCTAGGTATGGACAGATAATGTTTTATAACTTTGACTGAGATAATATTAATCCAAAGAGAAGGGTTAGAGTTTGGGTTAGCCATTCTATCATAAAAGTGAAACAGGAAATGATACCATTAAAGCGAACATAAATCCCGGACTCATGTAGCTTCACATTCTCTTCCTACTCTCGTCTGTCAGGCGCTTCAAAGCTCGAAAATTAATTTCTCCAAAAGTAATCTTGTTAAGTAAAATTCTTGATAGGTGATTCAGTTCATCTGTCTATAGACTTGTCGATTACACTTTTTTACATTTTCCTTGTATTTCCTCACAGGTGGATATGATGGACTAAATATCCTGAACTCAGTGGAGCGGTACGACCCGCACACGGGCCACTGGACAAGTGTCACACCTATGGCCACCAAGCGGTCAGGTAGGTAAGAAAACAGAATGCAGTGAAGTATTCCAGCTCACTCTGTGCTGCTGCTGTTTGTCTGAGACCTTCCTACTGCTTTCAGGCGCTGGTGTGGCTTTACTCAACGACCACATCTATGTGGTGGGAGGCTTTGATGGTGTTTCACACCTCGACTCCGTTGAGGTCTACAACATCAGAACAGACTATTGGACCACTGTAGCCAGTATGACGACGCCTCGGTGTTACGTAGGAGCGACCGTCCTCAGAGGACGTCTCTACGCCATCGCCGGGTGAGAAAGGATGTCCCTCTTTCCGTGACACTGGGTTTAAAGGATAATCTCAGTATAAACATCACATGCTGCAGGAAAAACCCTGACCCGGCTAGAATTGTGACGCTATCCCTTAAGATCTTTAAGTGTATTCTAACGCATTTATCTGATTCACATCAAGTGTATCTGGATACCTATAATTGTGGCACATCATTCTCGACTGAGCAGTGCTGATTATCTGTTTGTCTCACATCTCTCTGTCTCTAGATATGATGGGAACTCTCTCCTCAGCAGCATTGAATGTTACGACCCAGTCGTCGACTCCTGGGAGGTCGTCACCTCGATGGCGACGCAGCGATGCGACGCAGGCGTCTGTGTTCTACGAGAAAAGTGATCTTTGCCGAGAACCGCAAGAGGAAAAAGCAGACGGGGGTGGACAGGCAGCTAGACTTTGCTAAAATGCCACTAAATACAGAGCCAAACAAAGGGAGATGTTTGATCGCCAGTATGCAAATAGATACTCTCAAAAAAGGAGAATAGGTGCAGCCGTTTGGGCTGCCTTATCTGACGGACGGTCAACCCTGCGACAGACGGACTGTGCGACAGAGATCGGGGGAGAGTTCACCTCAAAAGAGGCCTCCGACGAGCCCATCGCCACTTGCATGAGTCTTCGGTGGTACTTGTTGCTGTCGTTACCTGTGAGATTATTTTTTCAGTTTGTCTTCAAAGTGCAATATATTTCTACTCATCAGAAACACAGAAAAAGATGGAGTTGATGTCGACTCCGGTTGCTGCTATATGCCTTATGACTTTGGCCTCCATCAACCAGTGAACATCCGTGTTGCCTCCCATGTGACTCTGATGACAGTCACAGCACATCGGCTTATTATCGAGTGTACTCATTTAGCGTTTGCGAGGTCATTAATGGGTCAGTAATTCAACCCTTTTTGTAATTCCTTCTGTAAACAGTGCTTTTAGATCGAAATCGTTTCATACAGAAGGTTTAATACTTATCGTTGCTCTCAAAATATATATTTAGAGATCAATATTGTTTTAGAAAATGACTGAATTGTACCAGTTGACTTTGATTATTTTGTCCCTAAAAGATCACAAAAGTAATAAGTATGAGGTGCATGTGATTTTTATTTTATTTTTTTTCTTCCTGCGCTTTTAAATCTGGAAATGTACGTGTAGGACACGGTGTCCTAACATCATTGTTGCCTGGGAAGTGAATAAACACTGAGAACTGACGCGTTTCCTCCTCGGTCTGTAAACACCTGATAAGTGATGCAGAGAGACAAAACGCTGTATGTTCGCTTCACACGTCGGCAGCTGAGTCAGTGGCATCACCATCACCATGAGACGAGTCATCGAGCCACTCGGAGCAGCAGATTCAACAAACTAAACCAGGTAGACGTGTTGCATCTCTGTACAATGTGTCCGTTCTAAGAAACGGTTAGAACTGTCCACGTGCCACCGAATCACTAATTAGCCCTCTGATGACAGCTGTATGACAGCATGAGGTTGATATTTGTGTCTCTACTATTGACATGAAAAGCTATGAAATTTGGTAGAAACATTTATGTTCTCTTCAGATTAAACTCTAATAACTTTTGTGATCCTCTGACGTTTCATTAGGATTTAAAAGAAAGTAAGTTTACACGTTCACCACATAATAAAAGAATAAACACATTTCACCGTCTTCTGTTTTATGTACAGTTTTCAAGATTAAAGGCACAACAGGATGATAATATACAGATATCTGTATATAAGCTATTTTGCTCCTAACTTAAACCCTGCATGATATCAGCAGGGGAAAATAACAACTTGCATCTACTTAAGTGTAATTTGAGGTATTAACATTTAATTATACTTCATATTTCTACACAACTACATTTATTTGACAGCTAAAGTTAGTTACCTTGAAGATTAAACCTATCATCAAAACTAATTCGATTTTCAGAACTTCACAACATTCAGAAATCACGGAAACATCTAAAACATGAGAAATCTGAATAAATACTAAATATTGAATCCCTGTGTGAAAGTGAGTAAACTTTAATCAAAACCATAAAACTCGTCCTATATTTTTAAGCACCATGTACACCAGATTATTTCAGGGTTCTGTTGAGACATTTCATGGAAAACATTCTGAAATCATCAGAATGCAAATCAAAATGGGACTTATTTTTTATGTTTTCTCATTGAACCAATATATGAATTATGTCTCCAACTGTTCTTTCTTTATCCAGTTACAAGACCTCCCAAAGATAAGCGACTAAAACAACATTTAGAGGAGGAGCAGCTTCATGCGAGAGGAAAGTCAAAGTCATCACCCCTCCCTTTCTCCTAAACCAGCAGAAGCACCGCCGTCGCTCACACGCACCAGGTGAGTGTGTGTGCAGGTATAAAGAGCGGGACAGAGCAGCGCTGATCGGTGGAGACACGGTACCGGTCCAAGATCGGTCACGAACAAACTGAAGCAAACATGGTAAGATGATTACAATTTATTAGAAATGTGTAAAGAAATGTCTAGTTTGGTTTTTGGTATCGTTGCATCATCAGTACATGCAGCATTTATCTTAAAATATAAATCTGCACCAGTTTTTAATTACTTTATCTGCAGGGAAGTCTCTGCCAGATACGAGTTTTATCCAAAACCTCACCAAACCTCTGGCTGCATGGATTGTACGCATGTATTTAAAAATGAGAATGTAGTTGTTTGTGTTAACATATCTACACAAGTTTGTATTATTTATACATCTTGAACTTTGGGTATTATAGTTTAATGAGTTTATAGTCAAAGCATTGGGAGCCCAAAGCTTCTTCATCTTCACCGTCAGACCCTCAGAAGAGCCTCTTATCTTCAAGTTTTGGGATTTTTTGTTTTGTTCGTTTTTTGTATTTGTCTACTCGTGTCTTACAAATATCACTCAACAGCGAAAAAAAAAAAAAATCACCTTTGCCTTCAGGGAAAACTAAATTCTCAACAAGTTCGAACAGGACTGCTGCAGGACCCTAAAGCAGTGAAGTGTTGCCAGATCTGTTTTTGACTTTGTTTACTCTTAACAAATGTAGAAACAGAACACAAATACCATTAATAACACATTTAATCATCAGACCATTTTACATTTTTGTACACTCAGCTGATGAATATAGCAGTAAGAAAAGGCCATAATTATGTAAATTCCATAACCAACTGAACTGCGTGTGGTACAATAAAAAAAAAAATCTCAAATTAATTTGGTATTTAAGACTCTAGTGTCTGAATCTCACCAATCTAATCTCACTCACTTGATTTTTTTTCTTTAACCTGACTTTTGAATAAACATTTAAGTTCCATGTCTGTGTCTGCTCCACCAGTAGGTTATCATTTATGTGATTTATTAAAAAGACTTCACAACTATTGGATTGATCGCATGAAGTTGGTGCCAAGAGAATCCATCCTTCTGACTTTGGTTATCCTCTAACTTTCCCTCTAGCGCCATCATCAGGTCAAACTTTAAATGTATTTAATATGTCAATGACCAAATACCTGCAAAACTAATGACATCCCAATCAACCTCAGCAGTACTTTGTGTATTAGCATGCTAACAGCTAAGCTAATACATCAGCTTTTACATCAGCTCTTCTCATCCACTGGTGGGCCTCAGCGCACCATCTAGTGGACCGCAGAGGTACTGACAAATGCTTAGATGAAGTTAAAAATGCAATTAACAAAGCTAGTTATCTAAATGTGCTCAAGAATTCACGTAAATAAAAATCATAGTAATTAAAAACAACAACATTTGAATATCACCACGTCAACATCACAACACATCATCAGGTAAAGTCAAACGTGTTTCGCTTCAGTTAGCTAACGTTCCCTCGGAGTAAGTGACACAAAAAGCTTTATATATCTTCAAAGCTCTAAAGTGTGTGGTGAGGAAATATGACCCTGAAACAAACCATAAATTTGGATTCATAATGGCAGGCAGTATATTATTTATTTATTAACAGTACAGTATATTTATTAGATTTTCTTTTTTGTCATTTATTTGGGAAGATGGTCCTCAGAATTAGTTTTAACAATCATAAGCCGGCCTTAAGTAACAGAAGGTTGAGAAACCCTGCGTTACATAGACATCATACCTCTTTTACATTAGCATGTTAGCGTTTAGCTCGAATCACAGTCTCACAGAGCTGCTGGACTGTAGACCTACAAGAATATTGATTACAGCCGCCTTGAATTCAGTTGTATTTAAATTTCAATAGTAAATATTCTTTGCTGATTAAATTAAGGATTTAATTCGGCATTCGTTTGCTTTTTAGATTCACATCATTATAGCCTTTCTTTACTTCCATGTGCATGTTTATCTGTTTGTGATGACCTTTATTTTCAACAGCACTTTAAAATTTAAGGAATAAAAAATGTCTAACTTTCAAAATATGGAAAAAAAGATAAGTTTCTTGTTTAACCATCATCATTATTCTAATTCATTCAGGTTTATGTTTGCAATAGATGGCTGTGCTTACAAACCATTCATGTTTTGGGGACTGAAAAAGTACCACAATGATTGTTTCACAACATGTTTTATGTTAAAAACGTATCTTCCACCTGTTGTGTTTCTTTCTGTGCAGAGAGAGTGCATCTCTGTCCACGTGGGCCAGGCAGGAGTCCAGATAGGAAACGCCTGCTGGGAGCTCTTCTGCCTCGAACATGGCGTCGGTCCTGATGGCGTCTTCCTGGACAGTCCTGCAGCACCGAACTCTCGTGAAGACTCGTTCAACACCTTCTTCAACACTGGGAGCTCTGGACGCCATGTTCCTCGAGCCATCTATGTGGACCTGGAGCCCACTGTGGTCGGTGAGTCGTCCTGTGTTTGTGTTTATTTCTATCCTCCTTTATCTCCATTTTTATTACCGTTCCCGTTCGCCTTTCATGTGTGGTCGTCTAGTGCGAGTGCATCTCCATCCACTCGGGCCGTGCAGGTATCGACTGATGGGAACACTGGTATCCAAGCAACCAGTGCACTGGTGACTCCTTTGCCTTTTATTCGGCGCTGCTATAACATTTACAGAAGCGTTGTGTGTAAACAGCAAACTGCAGAGTAGAGTATAAGATAGATTTTAGACAGGACAATATGTCCCTTCAATTTATGTTTGAGATGCTTAAGATTTTAAACACAACACATTTTTTTCCACATTTTTCAATCAAAATCTGCTCAAATACAAGTAATCTAAAATTTAACATTTCTGTGATATAGTGAAGCCCTGATCCTGACAAAACACTGTATGAAATATACAAAACATTCAAATACAACAGCCCATTCTTTGTAAATCTTCAGATTCAGGGTAAAAAAGCAAAAGTTAGTCATGAGTTGCTCCATCAATTATGGAACCATCAATAATTCAATATGGTTGAAAAGGTCGGTCAAGTTAAACCACGTTGCAGTTGATCTTATTGACCTTTCTGAATGAAAACTTTCTTTTCAGATGAAGTAAGAGTTGGAAAGTACAAAGAGCTTTTCCACCCCGATCAGCTGATCTCTGGAAAGGAGGATGCGGCCAACAACTACGCTCGAGGCCATTACACCGTCGGGAAAGAGATCATTGATGGAGTCATGGAGCGTATTCGTAAAATGGTCAGTGACACCAATAATGATAAACACCTGGTTGGCAATTCACTGGTAATGAGCATCATCATTGTTTGGTTTTGACATTTTTTTTCTGCTCTAGATGACTTTTTAAAGTCTAAAAGTGGAAATAAAGATGCTCTTACAGTAATCACAGGTTCAATGCATGAACTTAAAGCTCATACATTAGCTAACATGTGAACTTTCTGCACTACATTCAGCAATATTTTGCGAATTACACTCATTCCTTTCTTGCAGAGATTTAGGTGAGAGGATCCTCTCCACTGTCACTGTCCAGTCCAGTGTTAAGCTAAGCTAAGCTACCAGGCTGCCTGCTGTAGCTTCATATCTATTTGACAGACATGAGTGGTATCAATCCTCTCATTTAACTCTCTGCAAGAATAAGTGCTTTTTGCTAAACTATTTCTTTAACAGTCTGTGCTGTCCTTCTGTCGCCCCCATCAGACGGACCAGTGCACCGGCCTGCAGGGGTTCCTCGTCTTTCACAGCTTTGGAGGTGGAACCGGCTCTGGTTTCACCTCTCTGTTGATGGAGCGTCTGTCTGTCGACTACGGCAAGAAATCTAAGCTGGAGTTCGCCGTGTACCCAGCTCCCCAGGTGTCCACCGCTGTGGTAGAGCCGTACAACTCCATCCTGACCACCCACACCACCCTGGATCACTCTGACTGTGCCTTCATGGTAGATAACGAGGCCATCTACGATATCTGTCGTCGCAACATGGACATCGAGAGTCCTGGATACGTCAACCTCAACAGATTGATCGGTCAGATTGTGTCCTCCATCACTGCTTCCCTTCGTTTTGACGGCGCCCTCAACGTCGACCTGACGGAGTTCCAGACCAACCTGGTCCCGTTTCCACGTATCCACTTCCCTCTGGTCACCTACTCGCCCATCATCTCTGCTGAGAAGGCGTACCACGAGCAGCTGACTGTGACCGAGATCACCAGCGCCTGCTTTGAGCCGTCCAATCAGATGGTCAAGTGTGACCCTCGTCACGGCATGTACATGGCGTGCTGCATGCTGTACCGAGGTGACGTCGTCCCTAAGGATGTCAACGCTGCCATCGCAGATATAAAAACCAGACGTTCCATTCAGTTTGTCGATTGGTGCCCAACTGGCTTCAAGGTGAGTAACCTCATGAAGGTAGGAAGTGACGCTTGACATTCTTCATCTTTCTGATCATTCTTTTCGTCTCAACAGGTTGGCATCAACTACCAGCCCCCCACTGTGGTTCCTGGTGGAGACCTGGCCAAGGTCCAGAGGGCCGTGTGCATGCTGAGCAACACCACTGCTATTGCAGAGGCCTGGGCTCGGCTTGACCACAAGTTCGACCTGATGTACGCTAAGCGTGCCTTTGTGCACTGGTATGTGGGTGAGGGTATGGAGGAGGGAGAGTTCTCTGAGGCCAGAGAGGACATGGCAGCTCTGGAGAAGGATTACGAGGAGTTGGGTCGAATGAGCCCCGATTCTGAAAATGACGACGAAGACCAAGAATACTGAACCTTGTGAGGCTGTGACGGCTGCACAGCAGTGATTTGATGATGATTTCATATCTGTTCTGTGTTTCTTTTAAACTACAGTTAACCAAATTAATAATCTTCCTCACTGCCATGTTTTTTTTTAACATCACGCTTTAGATTAAGAAGACAGACTGCTAAAGTTGTATTTGAACTGTGCTTTGAAATTAAGTTGGATGTGAAACTTGTTAGTGATGCAGATTGTTACAGCGGCCAAAGACGACACGACGTCACCACCTCGTCCCCATTACAAACACATTCAGGGAACACAAGTCTGAAAGGTGGCCATATATTATAATACTTCATCCAAGAAATACAGTTTAGTTTAGCTTAGCTTAGTTTAGTTTAGTTTAGTTTAGTTTAGTGAGATGAAGGACCGCACAAAATGTTGAAGACAACACAAAAAGGTCCAAGACTGATTTCCATCGTGGTTCTTGATTTAAAGACAGCGTTGATGGAGGATACCAAGACAACAAAGTACTGTGGTATACATTTGAAGTACTTGTGCTTTACTTGAGCAAATCCATATTATGCTACTTTATACTTCTACTCCACTACATTTCAGAGGAAAATATACTTTTTACTTCCTTACATTTATAATAGTTACTAGTTACATTTCAGATTACAATTTTGCATAAAAATGATACGATCATTTATTAACTATGATGCCCAACAGTATGTGAAGTAGTCAAAATTAGCTCCACATTGGCCAACCAAGTAACAACATTAAAGTACCACTTACATATTAATTCATGAATAATACAACAATACAACATAACACTGGCAGAGGCCATTCTGCACAGTGAGTACTTTTACTTTGATACTTTAGGTACATTCTGTTGCTAAGGTTGGAGAGGAGGAATTTAACTTGCAAAGCAGTATTTTTATAGTGTGATTTTGCTACTTTTACTTAAGTAGGTAATTTAATACATTATATCCATTACGTATAAAAATGAACTAAGATGATGAACTCTCGGTTCCAAGTGTCCCAGAAGTGGTTTTATGACCCTGAACTATATCAAAATATTTAAGGTTGACTGTGATCGTGCAGCAGCAGATGTTATAGAACCACGAGAAGCATCCAATCAAACCGCACGGACTGCTTATTTAAACAACGAGTCCCGGCGGCCGTGAAGGTGTCACCTGAACATATCCATCCGCGTGGAAAGTGTAAACAGTAGACGTTCTACAAAGAAGAGACTTGTGTGACAGATTATAATTTACTATTCCTTAACAGTACGATGCGAGGAATCCTTCGTAATGTTTTCAGAATTATATGCAATGTATGAAATATCAAGAATCTAGAATCTAATCTTCACTGGATGAAGATTTTAGGCTGCAGCATGTAGAATTGACATCATATGCGATGGACACATTTTTGATTTATTTTTTAGACATAGCACATTTCAGTTTGTATAATCTTTCATGCTTTGAGCAGTAATCGAAAGTAATTATGTACATTTACTCAAGTAATTGGCCTTAACTTCAATTTTGTGTATTTCTATTTTATGCTACTTTATAGTTTATTCTATATGTCTGAGAGAAATATTGTAGTTTATACTTTCCTACATTTATAATAATTACTTTTCAGATTAAGAGTTTACATAAAAATTATATTTAAAACATACATTTATTAAATATGATGCCCAAAATCTATTTAACAGCTGTAAACTACTTTGGGAGTTTAGATAATCTATTCAAAATCCAATTAACAAATTAATTATGATGTATAGGCTACAATTATGAATTCAGCAAGCCGGGAGTTGATACATTTGTTATAATTAGCTCCACATTTACCAGCTGCAACATTAAAATGATGCTTACTTACACATAAATGCATCCATAGTTATAATCCGATTACATAACACATTTCATTATGACATGAGCCATTCTGAAAAATGAGTACTTTTACTTTTTGTATTTAAAGTGTATATTGATTTTAACACGTTTGTACTTTTACTTGAGTCATATTTTGAATGTAGGACTTTTACATGTAACAGAGTATTTTTTTCTCCACTGTGGTATTGCTACTTTTACTTCAGTAAAATATCTAACGTTAAGTACTTCTTCCACCACTAAGGTTTAGGGTGGAAAATCCCAATTCAGACTTTCTAATATGGTCTAAGGTCTAATTATTTCTTTAATAAATTTATCAGTGGCAGATCTCTCATCTGCTAAATTAGGCTAAATCCAAGTCTAGATTGTGTGGCTACTAAAGTTTGAGGCTATGATAAGATTAGAAATAAAAATGTAACAATATGAAATAGGGTATAAAAAAAGATTTATTGCACCACAACAGTGACACAAATTGAGAAGTAGGTTCAACATCAAACATTAATCAAACTGATAAATCACTCCCACATCAATTAGAACTGTGTGGTGTCTAGTTTTTTCAGCGGACGTGCTCACTGCCTTGGAACATTCTCCTCACTGTGCATGGAAGTGTGTGTTTGTGAGAGAGTGTATGTTTCTGTGTGTGTGTGTGTGTGTGTGTGTGTGTGTGTGTGTGTGTGTGTGTGTAAACTGCCTCCTCTCGTGCTGCTGACGACCGAGTCTGACCGTGAACAAACGGGATTAAACAAAAAACACTCCAGGCGAACCGTACCACGGCGATACTTTGTGTGTGTGTGACCAGTCCAGTGCGAGCTACCACCGGGTCGGTCCAACAACGATGAGCCAGCCTCGGCCGGACGAGTTCAAGCCTCCTCCGGAGTGCCCGGTCTTCGAGCCGAGCTGGGAAGAATTCAGAGATCCGTTTGCCTTCATCAATAAGATCCGTCCCATCGCCGAGAAAACGGGCATCTGCAAAGTCCGCCCGCCTCCGGTGAGTGTGATTAACAAAAGAAAAACGGTCAAACGTTCCACGGATGCTCCATTAGTTAACCGTTAAGACGGTTAGTAGATGGACCGAGCGGTTGGGATTTAAAGGGACTGTTCAACATGGCGGATGTAACGTTAACGTTCATTCTTTGTGCTGCTCGCAGCTAGCTTAGCTCTCATTTGTGATTATTGACGCTGCCACAGCGCCGTTTTCTGGTCGATTTAAAGCTCGTTAGCATCAGTAATGATGTGTCGGTGTATTAAAAGTGCATTTTTTAGTCTCTGTTCACTGTGTGTCAACAAAGTGCCCCGTTCATTGAACCACTTAGTGAGCTAGGCTAACGCTAGCTAAAAGCTCAACAACCAACCTGTCATAATGTAGCTCTCGGCTTTGACACTATGCGGAAGACAGTCCTTCTTCTGCGTAGAAGATGATGATGGTGATAAAACAAACATGGATGTTAGCACCTGTTATTACCCTTTTGTCCTTTAATGTCCTCGCATCCATACAGTGTAGGTTAATTATGGATTATTTGTTGAAGATCCTCATGATGGGTCATTTCCATCCATCACTTCTCAATCCACTGGCTTGTTTCTGATGAATTTCTGTAGCAGTGTATATTTATGTCATGGGTCAGGCTAAATAAATGTTCCCTTTTAATGGCTTTATTGTCATATAAATTGCCCCATGATGGGACAAGAGGTACACTGAGGTTATTTAAATATATAAAGTCCACTATCGTTGTTAAAGAACAAGTTGTGACTTTTTGAAGTTGTTGTTGAATGTGTCTTATTATACAACTGTGCAGTGGTGTTGTTATGGCATCAGTGTCCTGTAAGATAACCAGTGTTCATGTATGAGCCTGTGTTGTAGGGTGTTGTCCTCCATGTTGGCTTTGTGGTAAGCTGGGCTGGTGAGTGAGTCTTCCATCTGGCCATTTTGTGTGCCAGTGGGGGATGTTTGCTACTGACTCAAAACAATAACTTGGGTCTCTTCTCATACAGTAGTATGTTTTTGTTGTATATGCAAGGTTGTATTCACACAAATATTGATCGTGGGTTGTGAGTTATAAACTGAAAGAGATCAAAGGCCTCGCTTTTCTGCCAAACTTGATTCTGATATTAGTTTAGTAATCTGCAACTATTCAATTATTAAACCGCCTCTTTTATCTGGCAAATTTAAGTTTATTTGAGTCACCATGAGTAAAGAATATAGACGATTCTTAAATTTGGTTCCATGCTTTGAAAAACAATTGTCATAATGGGGACCGTCTGCAAAGCAAAAACAAATAGACAAACCAATTTAGCATATCGATATAAGATTAATAATCAGAACTATATAAATATCCAGGCTATGTTTTATTATGATCATGTGCCGTTGTATGTATTTCTGTTTAGGGTTGGCAACCTCCGTTCGCTTGTGACGTTGACAAACTTCACTTTGTTCCTCGGATCCAGAGGCTCAATGAACTGGAGGTGAGTTTCATTAATCAGATTATATACCAGTGATTATCTAACCACATCTGTTTGTGTGTCAGCACTCTAACATTGTACATTTTAATAGCACATGTTTTTGTAATTACTCGGCCTGTACGGGCTACACTGATAATAACAAAGAACACTAATGTTATTAATGCCTTGTAATGATATAATGTACCCATATAAACATTGCAAATTTAGACTGGAAATTACAATTCGTAATTGTTACTTAACCCAAACTTAATAAATACACTAGACGTGTATTTATTTATTTTAAACAATAGAAAACAAGCTGGCTTAAGGAAATCTCAGATGATTTCCTTGAGCTTAATTAATTTGTGACTGACTATTATCATCGTTTCTTCTATTTTATCCAGGCACAGACCAGAGTCAAGCTCAATTTCTTGGACCAGATTGCCAAATTCTGGGATTTGCAGGGATGTGCCCTGAAGATTCCTCATGTGGAGAGAAAGATTTTGGATTTATACAAGCTAAATAAGGTTGATAATTGACATCATTGCGCATTATTTTTTTTAATATAAATTGCAATTAAACAACTTGCACCACTCACTCGTAACTCCCTGTCATTTCAGCTGGTAGCAGATGAGGGTGGATTCGACCTTGTCTGTCTTGACAGGCAGTGGACCAAGATTGCACTACAAATGGGTTTCGCCCCTGGCAAAGCTGTCGGCTCACACCTGCGAGGGCATTATGAGAAAATTCTCTATCCCTACAATCTGTTTCAGAGTGGAGCAAACCTGCTGGTGAGTTGGACACATGCATCGTTATGAAAGCATATCTTGTTCCTGCTGATACTCACAAAGAGAAGCTGTCATACGTTCATCTGTAAACAAAATAGGATAGGCATGTTTTATCTACGTTTTGTGTTATTTAGAGATACAGTATTTTTCTTTAACTCTGTTGTCTGACTAATGTGCCGAGCGTGAATTTACAATCTGGTGTCTAGTCGTGTCATGTAAAAGCTTTTGCACTCAAATGTTCCATAACATGTTGCAAGAGAGCTTATGAAAGTCATTGGATCGGTGCTGGGTGACCTCTCCGAGAGGTCACTCTAAATTTCTTAATTACCGAAGCTCTCTCTTGCCTCAGGCACCAGAGCCAGCTTCCAAACTGATGCGTTTGGAGGCTGATCCTGAACTTGAAAAGGTATGTTTGTGTCATGGTTAAATGCTATTTGGCTTTACAATTAAGAACAATGCATGTTTATCTACAGCTGGACACTACACTGTATGTTGTAATATGTCCAGGCATGCTAATGTGTATTAACCCTTCTTAAAACAGTCATTAACTGGTTTTACAGCAAACGAATAACCTCAAACAGAATTCCTTCACCTCTATATGTTAATCTGCACTTAACATGCATCTTGGGACAAATTTAAAATGCAATTCTTTTGTTTGTGTGACAGGCAACAAGCGGCAATTTGGTGCTTATTATTTTTCAGTTCAAATATTGTTGTATTCTCTCTTCTATCCTTCTCAAGTGCAACTATAATTAAACTTGAATATCTGCTGTTCTTTACCTGCTTAAATCTGTTTTTCTGTCCTCTGATTCATCATGTTCCTCCTCAGTGTCTGTACTCCCTGTTTAGGGTGACAAACTGTAACTAAACATGTCCCTTTTTTGTCCTCTGGTTGTTTAAGTTTAAACTAAGTTAATACCAAATCCTGTCTTTGATAGAGTACATCCCAGTCTTTGAACCACGCTTGGTAGCTGCTGATACTTCCTAATATCTATTTCATTACAGCTGGTAAACAGAAGTAATAATCATATAAAGAGATATCTTTTATTGTGCAAGCTGTGACACACTCACACTTCCTGTTGTAGACAGTGGAATCTATCATGTCTCTGTTTTGGTAGCCATAGTAAGCAGTGTTTAGTATTCTATTCCTATCTTACTGACTGCTGCCTTTGAACCTACAGGTAATTCCAGTTAGACACGGGCATGTTTGGATTAGTAGCCAGTGAGCTGTGGTTTTAACTGGCATACTATTTCCTCCAGTGTGTTCAGAAGCCAATCCAGCCAGTGGAGAGCACAGGAAGCACCGATAGCATGGACACCAAGGACACCACGCTGCAGGACCAGGCTCAGAGGACGACCGCCCAGAAGCCCGACATCGGCCCCGCTGCTCGCAGAGCGAAGCGCATGAAGTGTGAGGTGGGTGTCGCTTAAGAGAGCCACAAACACCGGACTAAAACTGTCCCGAAACAAGCAGCACAGACTCCACTCATTACCATTCTCCACATCATGATTTCAGTAGTTTTAAAGTTTGCCTGCAGTTTAACTTCTCACCCTTTCTGTAGGCCGTCTGTGTGAAGATGGAACCAGGTGAGCCCGGCGACAACAAGCCCAACCTGAGGCGCCGGATGGGTTCTTTTGTCGCCAAGCTGGAACCAGGTCAGGATCCACCAAATAGTTACCCTAATGACATTTACAGTATTAATGCACATCAGTTAAACCATCCCTATTTACAATTCATAAGCAGTATATAAACATTTCACAAATGGTTTAGAGCACACTGAAGGGTACTTTTAGGCAGAGAGGAGCGTTTAGTCATGTATCTTTCAACAACTATGAGTCCTCCTGTGGGCGATCATAACTGTAGGCTGGTTTATAAACAGATAATGCGTGACAATATTAAA